GCGGGGGCGGAGCGGGCGGGGCCCTGACCCGCCCTGGCGCGGCGGCCGGCGAGAGGAGGGCCCGGGCGAGGTCGCGGTGTGGAGGGGCGGGGGACTTGGCGGGGAGCCCAGCGCGGGCCTGCGTCTCGAGAGGTGAGCTTGGCAGGACGGCGGGGCCTGTCCTCTTTGGCCTTGAAGCCGTCGCCTGGCGATAAATGTCTCGCTGTCCCCACTCTCTGAAGGGACCGCGCTGAGGATGCTTGCTGACCCAGGCCCCTCCGCCGGGCTCCGCCCTCCGTCCTCCCGCCGCACCCGCATTCCTGGCCTCCCCTGCCGGGCGGAGCGGGAAGGGAGCGGGAAGGGAGTGAGCGAGGCCTGCTCCGCCCCGGGGAGATCCGCGGGCAGCAGCGCCCGACCCCCCGTGGGGGCCGCCGCAGGAGCGCGGGGCTGGAGGGCGTGGAGCCATGTGTAGGATGCTTCTCACTACGGTGCAACCCAGGTTATTAAAACTTAGAGTAATATGCAAAAGTCGTGTCCCCCGACCTGCCCCATGGGCGACTTCCCAGAGAAGATGGTCTTCTAGCTGGACCCCCAAGGATGAGTAGGATAGTTTGGGGCAGAGGGGACAGCCTGAGCAAGACGTTGGTGGGAAGCAGTGAGCTGCTTTCTGGGCAGAGAGTGTCGAGTTTTAGAGAGGAGTGAAGGTGGGGGGAAAGGGGGCAGGAGCGGAGTCCTGAAGGAGGAGGGCTTGATTTGGGGTGTGTTGAAGGAAGGTAAGATTTCCAAGTGAGGCAGGAGAGGGTGCACACATTCAGGTCTGCTGCTTGGGAAGGGGGCTGCTGATGTAACCCAGGGAAGAGGGTGGGAATGGTGCATTGCTTAGAGGCTTTGCCTGGGTGTCTTCAAGTGACCGCCAGGCCCCTGTTTGGCATCTAGTACAGCAGTATCCTGCTGGCACCTGTTTGGGTAGTAGATCACTTTCTAGAAGTCTCTTTGGCCAAAACCGGGCTGTTGAGAGCCCCAAAGGCACAGAATGTGACAGGGAAGTGGAATCTAAGAAACCTAGAATATTAAAAATTCCAAAGGAATGCAGAATGACCACCAATTGCATCATTGATTCTAACTCCGGAATATTTCCATCGTTACTTTTCCTGACAACAGAGTAGCATCTCCCCTCCTGACCTTAGGCATGTGCCTATGTGTGGGGAAAGAGTTTGTGACTGGAGGCCAGAGACTGGGCCTCAGGTCCCTTCAAGCTTGCCTCCCTGCAGGAGGTCTCTGAAGTGCCTGGTTCCCGTAAGAGCAAGTACTACATAGGCCCATCCAGGAAGACTCCCTCCCTGGCTCTGAGCAGAACCACGTTGATATCGGGGTTCAGGAACTTGCCAGGGGGTGCAGGCAAGGGGAGAGGCAGGCTCTGGGGTGCTCAGGACAGCTGAGCCGTCTAGGCTCAGCCCTCACTGCTGTGGCCCTGGAGGCCCAGAGGTTGGGAGCCCCTTGGGGTCCAGACCCTACTCTGCTGGGTAGCAGGCTGCTTTACCCACCGAGCCTCTGAAATGGGGGTTGTCAGGATGCCTTCTGGCTAAGTGTGGGATGTGAGCTGAGATTGTAAAGCACCCAGTGCTGTGGCTGCCCTGTAGTTAGCCTTTGGCAAGTATTTGCTGTGGCCGTTGGTGCTGCTGTCTTTTCACAATACCTGTACTTTTCTGGGTCTGCACCTACCTCTGAGTGGGCTGGCTCTACGTTCAGTTTGCCCAGAACTGCCCAGATTCATGCTTCATAATCAACACTGTCCCTTCACTCGCAGAAGTGCCCGGGTAGATGATACGTTCCTTCTCTGATCGCTATGTCCAGCATCACATTGGATAAGGAGTCACGGAGATCTCGTTTAAGTGGCTTCACGTGGTTATGCTTGGCTCCCTGTCAAGCAGGAGGGCCTAGCAAGCATTCATGGGGGTCACTTTGGCTCAGATGAGGACACTGAGGGCCAGAGAGGGAAGGGACTTGCCTGAAGGTGGCAGAGCAGAGATGGACCCTGCCATGTGCCCAGCATACAGCCTGCTGGATGCTGTGGGCTAAGCAGCCACGGACATCATTCGAGGCCTTTAGAGTGCACCGGGGCATGGTATATGGTTCTTTGTGGTGATGGCAGCAGCAGGCAGAGGTGGCTCTGTGGCAAAGACTGTGTTTGGAGATGGGCTGGGGCCCCAGCAGGCCGTGACACCTGATGAAATAGAATGGGGCCAGACTGAGGGCTGGATGGCAATAGAGGCCGGGATGGTGTCGGCTGGGAAGTGATCTGGGGAGAGGTGTCGGGAAGATCATGCTGGTGTCAGCATGTACCGAGGATTGGGGGACGGTGCAGGAGGCTGTCGTGACATGGGGGTTGGAGGGTGGACATTGGTGAAGGGTGACTGGGAATGGGAAGAAGAACTAAAGAGCACGTTGATGGAGGGTCTGGGAGGGAGGTCCCTGGGCTTGCTGACGGTGAGACCTGTGGGGAGAGGGGAGACTGTCATTATGTCGTCAGATCTGAGGTACCAGTGATTGTGAGCTGCACCTCGTGCCATGGTCCACTAAGAATGGAGAAACACTGAGGGCTGGCCCCATGGAGTAGCGGTTAAGTGCGTGCGCTCCGCTGTTGGCGGCCTGGGTTTGGATCCTGGGCGCACACCAATGCGCCGCTTGTCAGGCCATGCTGTGGCGGCGTCCCACATAAAGTGGAGGAAGATGAGCACGAACGTTAGCCCAGGGCCAGTCTTCCCCAGCAAAAAGAGGAGGATTGGCATGGATGTTAGCTCAGGGCTGATCTTCCTCACACACAAAAAGAAGAATGGAAAAACATTTGTCAAACTTTGATGTGCTAGTGATTGCTAAATGCAACCCAGGGCCGGCTCCGTGGCTTAGCGGTTAAGTGCGCGCGCTCTGATGCTGGTGGCCCGGGTTCGGATCCCGGGCGCGCCCCAGGGCACCGCTTCTCCGTCCAACGCGAGGCCGAGTCCCACGTGCAGCAACTAGAAGGATGTGAACCTATGACATACAGCTATCTACTGGGGCTTTGGGGGGGAAAAAATGAATAAATAAAATCTTTAAATGCAACCCAATTTCAAAGCTATTAAAATATGAAAAAAGTATCTTGACAGTATATATGATGAGGTCTTGAATTCAAGAGTTGAAGAAATAATTGTGCCCGATAATCATTGTGAGCAAAAGAGGACAGGAAAATAAGGGGAGGGAGATGGTTTGGGAAGTGGGGTGTGAGGTGCTTGTCACACACTCCCTCACCTGCCCACTGGGTGGCCTCTCTGACACAGGGTGTGTGACTCGCCCTCTCCCTGGGCCGCTGCCCCCCACCCACCCTTTACCTGCGCTACTGAGCAGTAGGTCTCCATCCTGCCAGACTCGAGGCTCCAGCCTCAGCGGGGCCGTCGGTGGCTTGGCGGGTCTTCTTAGGTGTCCCTGGCACTTTAACGGGCCTGTGCCATTCTCGCCAGTCCACTTGTCACCTGGCCCCTCCATGCCCACCTCTTTAGTGGCTCAGCTCAGTGCTTTCCCCTGGCGGTAAACATGCTCAGGTTTCCGTCTGCTTAGCTAAACACACAGCTGTCAGCCCTGGCCTCATGCCCCTCTTCGCAGCCAAGCATCCTGGACATCGTGGATGAGCGGTCTTGGCAGACTGGCCCACGTACTTCCCTCGCTCCACTAAGACTGTTCCTGCTGAGGCCAGTGGCGATTTTGTCATGCTGGTCCTGTGGTCATCTCTCAGTCCAGGTCTTGACTCCAGCTCCCCCTTGGATGTCTCCTCCCCGACCTCCTTCTCCCTCATCCTCTCCCGTCCACATCTCTGTGGTTCGGCCTTCTTCTCTGGGCTGCTCCCTGTAGGTACGTGTCCCCAGGCTCTGTCCTCAGTCCTTTTGGGTCCTTTTGCTCAGCATCAGTGGTACGATTCGCCTGCTGTTGCCGTGCTTCATGCTCTCGGCTGTGTGGTCTTCCATGGCAGGAATAGGCCCGATGTATACTGTCCCCTTCAGTGGCTCTTCCCTTTGGGTGCTTACAAGTGAGGCTTCTCTGGCTACTCATGTGCACCTCTGGGTGGCCATATGGCCTTTTCTCTCAGGTATGCACCTAGGACTGGAATGGCTGTCATATTTATTAGATTTTTTAATGGAAATTTCCTTTGGGGTCAGAATTGAGGGTTCAGCTCCTTGGAGGAGTCTGGGAGATGGTGAGGGTGAGTGAGCAGCTCACTGTCCCTTCTGTCTCCAGGGGAGCAGCAGGCCCCTGGCCTCTTGGGAAGCTCCTGGTGCATCAGGAAAAGCCTTGGTGATCCTGAATCCTGCCCTGTGGCAGGGTCTCAGCAGGGGTGGGGGTGGGGCCAGTACAAGGTCCTGGTGTAAAAGGCCCATGGAGGGAGAAGAAGCAGGATGTGGAGTTTTCCCACGTCTGGAAAGACCTGCTGGTGGGCCACAGGCCACTGAATTTGGGCCTGGTGAGGTGTGACCTCCCCCATCGAGAGGAGGCAGATGGTGGCTCGTTTTTAAGATGTCATTTTCTTTGTCCATGGTGTCCCGAGGATGTGAGGACCTGCTGAGTGTCTGGCACCTGGCAGAGGTGCTGTCCAGGACACCAGAAACCTCTTCACTGAAGTGCGATGTCTGTGCGGCGGGCACTTGGTGGCAAGGGCACAGTCCTGGCCCCGGGAACGGGGGCACCTCCACCAGCTCCTGGTCTGTTCAGGATGCCCAGCCGGTGGGGGCAGCGTGGGGTGGGTCCCCAGCATGGAAACTGAGTGCTCTGGGGGGTCCGGGGTTCGGGTCGTGGGCACGGCCCCCTGCAGGCCAGCTGCTCTGGGGCCAGCAGAGGCCAGGCCTCGGGACTGTAGAGATGAAGGGGAGCAGGTGAGGCACCCAGAGAACCCAACAGTGGCGTGTGTGTCTGTGTGTGTGTGCATGCATGCAGGTGGGGTGACGGGAGCCAGGCGGGGGCAAGCACCTGCGTTAGGCCTGAGAAGGTGAGAGGGGACCCCAGGCCGAAGGTACAGCACCCGTAAAGGCTGAGTGGCTCCTGGAGGCTGTGACCAGAGGAGGCCAGGCAGAGGCTGCTCTGGGAGGAGAGGCCGTGGGTGTGCTGGGAAGGCAGGTGCCCTGAAGAAGTGGTTGGCTGGGTTGAAGAGGACAGACTGCAGGAGGGCGGAGGGCCCCTGGGTAAAAGGAGGTAAAGGCCCGGCTGAGGGTGGGCAGGGGCTCGGTGGGCCTCCTGGCACTCCCTCCTGTTGTGTAATGAGAGCTTCCCAGCCTTGTCCCACTGCCAGCAGCCCGTTGGAACGAGTGTCCCCAGAGCACCCTCAGGCCAGAGAGGTCTTCCTTTCTGTGCTCTGGTGTTCACGGCGCCCGGGCAAGAGCACCATGGGCAGTGAGGTCCCTGAGTCCAAGAAAGGAGAAGCCACTTTGTGAGGGCTGGGCTCCTGCCCCGGGAGGGGCACAGGGTCCCACGTGCCCTCCAGGAAGCTGGTGTCATGCTTTGTTGTTGTTCCTCCCTTGGCCTGTGGGCTTGTGGTTACCTGTGCAGGTGTTTATTTTTTATTTTTTAAATAATTTTATTTATTTATTTTTCCCCCAAAGCCCCAGTAGCTAGTTGTATGTCATAGCTGCACATCCGTCTAGTTGGTGTATGTGGGACGCGGCCTCAGCATGGCCGGAGAAGCGGTGCATCAGTGTGCGCCCGGGATCTGAACCCAGGCCACCAGCAGCAGAGCACGCGCGCTTAACCGCTAAGCCACGGGGCCGGCCCTGTGCAGGTGTTTAAATACCAGATCGTTTATGTCACAGCGAGTGAGCCAGAGAGCAAGTACCCACAATGTCCCATCCCCCTGGCCTTCTGGGAGGGGCTGCAGCTACATGCTCTGTGCAGTCTGGGGCCCCTGGGCTCCAGGGGTGGGTGGGGGAGGATCTTGTGCTCAAAGCCTCCTCCCAGGGCTCCCCTTGCCCCCAGCACCTGGAGTTGCCCTGCTCTGGGGCAAGGCCAGGCCTGGGACCAGCACTGTGCAGCCAGTTTCCTCTCCCTGTGGTGTGTGTCTTCAGTCAGAGAGGGGACACTGTCCAGCTGGCCAGTTTGAGAGTGAGCCTAAAAATAGACCCCCACCCAGGGCTGTAAAATCCCCTGGGCTGAGAGAGAGGCTGTAAACAGACGGCACCCCAGGGTCTTGGTCACTGGGTCAGCCCTGGCAGCTTCCTCTAGGCTCACAACTTTCCCTCAGTCCTCCTGCTCTGTTGGGTTCTGTGTCCAGGGCACGCACTTGCTCACACCCCAGCCTTGGGGACCAGGAAGCTGGGCAGGCTCTGTGCATCCACTGGGCCTCGGGCTCTGCTGGACTCCTCACCGTTGGAAAGTGTATCCCGATTTTACAGATGGGAAACTGAGGCTCAGCAGAAACAACACACCAGGCAGTAAGGGCAGAGTCAGGGTTCACTGGGACTGCAGCCCTTTCTCACAGACCCGAACTCTGCTGTGAGAGGTGTCCCGTGACACGGGAATATCAACAGCGCTGCTGGTGCCATCTCCAGCTACGTGACTGTGGGGAAGGGGCTCCCTGGGCAACGGTGGTCCAGATGCTGGGGGCTGCCCAGAGTTCAGGCTGCTCCAAGTTGTGAGTCGTGCGTGTCACTGGCCTCCCAGCCCCCATCTGGCTGACCCTGCCCATGTCCTTAGCCCGAATTGTGGCTGGAACCCCCTTGGGGAGATCCCCTACTAGGCAGTGAGGCCACAGCAGTTTGTCTCAGCTTAAAGGGGGAGACAGATGTGCCCTGTGCCCGTCCCCTCTCGGAAGCCCCTCTGGAGAGGGCGACACTCCGACCATTCCCTTGTTCTGGGGCTTCCCTTTCAGAGGCCGAGGGGATCCAGCAGTGGAGTGCAAGCACCAGACACCCCAGCAATGACCAGGTGGGTCTTAGGCAGCAGAGTGGCCTCTAGCAGGGGCCGGGGGGAGCCCACTCTACCCCCCAGCTCCTCCTCACATGCTGGACTCCCCCCAGTTCCCCCGTCTCCAGAGTTGTCTACAACGGCAAGAGGAACAGTAGCCCCCGCTCTCCCCCCAGCAGCAGCGAGATCTTCACCCCTGCCCACGAGGAGAATGTGCGCTTCATTTATGAAGGTACACGGGCACCCCCAGCCAGGGCCAGGGCTCCAAGGAACTCCCCAGAGCCCCTCTCCTGCCCCTCCAGTGTGCAGGCTCCAGACTCACTTCCCTGAGCCTTCAGGGGCCAGGCAGGTGGGGTGACAGGGGGACCTGTCTGATGAGGACACCTGGTCCTGATAATGGAGATAGTCAGCGCTGTGGTGTTCCCAGCAGGCAGCACCCCAGAGGCAGCACATAGAGCCAGTCAAGTTTGCTTGGGGAGGGCAGGCCACCGTGGAAGACAGACAGTGTACCCTGGGGGCAGCCCAGGGGTATCCCAGAAGTAGTGTGGCTGGGGTGTGTGAGCACGTGTGCATACGTGTCCACGACATGTGCCAGGAGGTAGGGGCCCCCCAGAGGAATGACCTCTCTACCCCAATGGGGTCACATGTGCCTCTGTGACCGCAGTCCTGGTCATAACACAGATAAGGGAGAGGCCTGCTAGAGGAGCCGGGGCAGGGAGGCCGAGAGGAGAGTGGCCCAGGCAGGGCTCCCCAAAGGAGTGGAGTTGTGTTGCTGACAACTTCAGGTCCAGCAGGAGAGATTGGCAGGGTTGGGGAGGGGCTGCGAGAATGCTCTCGGGAGGGAAGGGGTAAGGGCGGACACTGTCCTGGCTTGGACACTGACTGGCTGGGACTCTGGCCAATGCTTACTGCCCAGCCAGGCTTGCGCTCTGACGCGCTCCCCGTCTCCCACAGCCTGGCAGGGCGTGGAGCGAGACCTGCGGAGCCAGATGTCAGGCAGTGAGCGGGGCCTGGTGGAGGAGTACGTGGAGAAGGTCCCCAACCCCAGCCTGAAGAGTGAGTTGGGCAGCTGAGCTGGGAGGGAGGGGCCTGGCCAGGGGCTGGGCTGGGGCAGCAGGAAGGCCCACCTGCAGCCTGCTGCCTGCTTCTGAGATAGCCTGGGGAGTGGGCTGGTTCCAGGGCTTCCCCACTGCTGACTGCTCTGACCCCGACAGCCTTCAAGCCCATCGACCTGAGCGACCTGAAGCGCCGGAACACACAGGACATCAAGAAGTCCTAAAGCGCGCTGTGCCCTTCCCCTGGCCTCTGGGAGATCGGAGTGTAGCTTGATGTTGGTCTCCTCGTCTCCTGTGGGCCCAGCTCCTGGGAGGGGGAGGGGCCGGTGCTCCCAGTGGGCCACAAACCCCAGAACCAGGACGGTGTAATTGATGGCCGAGGCCTGCCCCTTCTCCTCGAGCCCCCTCCTTTCCTCTTGGGGGAATCTCAGGCTGCCCCCTGTCATTGGGAGGGTCTGGGCCCGGCCAGCCCTTCCCCACCCCCAGGCCTAGCTGCATCTTTGGAGCCACACAGCCCTGCCTGCCCCCCAGGGCCTTGACCCTGACTCTCCTTCCTTGCCATCACCTTCCACTGCCCCCACCCTCCTATTCCTGACCACTTCCAGGGTCAGGAGGGAGAACAGGGAGCCTCTCTTGTCTCCGGGGCCAGTGAGACTGGGCCGAGTTTATCCCAAGGTGGCCAGGAGGCAGGACAGGGGTGGCGTGGGTCCCCCACTGACCCCTGCTGCTTCTCTGGCTTGGACACATTGGGGAGCATCTAACCTCCCACCTCACTGTCCAACCTGGCCCCTTCCTTCCCTGCATCAGCTTCAGGATGCCACCAGCTCTCAGGACCTGGGACACTGCTGGGTGCCCCCTCGAAGGGGTCCTGGGCAGCCAGGCCTGGCCCCCTGGTGTCTGCAGTCCTGTGGCCACAGCAACCCCCTTGGGCAGGAGCATGGGGCTAACACTGAGCTGGTGAGGCTGCCTGGTGGGTCCTGGCTCTGTGCGGTATGCTAGGAGGGTCACCAAGGCCCCTTTTTCTTCCTGTGCCCTTCAAAAGCCAAGCATCTGCGATGGAGTCTGAGGACCAGTGAATAAAGGTGGGGTGGCACTGGATCAGCCTCTCGGCGGTCTCTCAGGCCGTTGTCCTGGCAGCCCACACAGGGCTGGAAAGCCCAGGTCATGGGCAAGGCCCCTGAGCCCAGAAATTCTATCTGATTTCTGGGCTCCATCCACTAGGGTGTCAGGCTTCCTGGGGGTTGGTGGGAGGTGGAGGTGGGGGCCTTCTGGAGGAGAGAGGCTGCTGCAGCTCTTTTGGCCTCCCTGGGGAGGCCATTCCCTCAGATGTGGGGGCCCTGGAGGCAGCAGCATCCCTCTGCAGCCCTGGACCCACCCTCTGGACCATCGGGGGAGTAGCTCCTCCACTGTTGAGGTGAAGGAGTGGCTGCTGGGCCCTGAGAGACCCGAGTGCAGTTGACCTTTAAACCTGGAAAGCCCTGGCGGGCCAGAGCCAGACAAGCCAAACAGGAATTTATTTCGGGAACACCCTTTCCTGAAAGAGTATTTTGAGGCTCCAGTGGCCCCATACAGGGGGAACCCATAGGTGGTTCCAGGAGGCATCTTCTCCTGGGGTGGGGGAGGCTCCCCTGAGACAGAGGCGCAGGAAGGACAGTTTAAGTAATAAGCAGCCGCCGAGGCTTGCTGCCAGTGGGCGCTGGCTGGTGCCAGGCCCTGAGCCAAGAACCTGTGACCACGCAGCCTCGTTTGCTCCCTGGGGACCTGTGGGGTATCCTCCTGAGGGTTTGAGTGTCTGTTGGACTGGGTCACTTGGGTCTGGGGCTGGGCAGGGGGTGTGGGCCAGGAGTGGGTGATGCCAGCTGGGGCACAGGGGGCTACAGCCAGAAGTTGAGTGAGCACGCCGGCACACACATGCCCTCCACCCAGTGTGTCTTGGATCACTGAGGACAAGGCGGACCCGGTGGAAATGAGATCCTGTCCTGCTGTGGGGGTTCTGCAAAGTAAGGTCCCCTGCTGGGGAAGTGGAAGGGTAGGCTTGACCCTGGGGCGGCCCATTGCTGCACTCGTGACTTAGAGCAAGTTGCTTTGAGCAAGTTGCTGAGTCTCCGAGCCTCAGTTTCTTCAAGTCGAAATTGGTACCTACCTCCTGGGTGGCTGCTGAGTGCTAGTGCCTGCTGCCCTTAGTTACTTCGTGGATGGCCTGGACAGGACACATGACTCAGCAGAGTGAGCACAACCCACAAGACCTCAGAGGGAGTTTGGACATCTGCTTCAGGTGGCTGGAGTCATGGCCTTGCTGTGAGCCCTGGGGCACATCACACTGCTGCCCTGCCTGTTTCCCCATCTATAAAGTGAGGGTGTGTGCTGTGGTGGTCCAAAGGCCTCTTCCCGAAGGAGTGCTGAAGCCCCCAGGCAGCACACTGGGGAATGTCTAAGGAATATCATGCTGCATTAGTTAAAAGTCAACTTGATTTTGGTTCCAAGCCCCCTCTGGGTTATTCTCCCCTCCTGTGGGGCTGGAAGGTGTGAGTGGGGCTCGTGACCTCAATTCCATTCAGGCCACAGTGGCCTCAGAATCTGGGCCTCCCCTGCACACAGCCATCCTCCCTGGTCTCACCCAGTAGTGGTTGTGCCCTTGGGCCCAAACACTGCCCCCTCCCCACCCACGTAGGTGCGCCCATGAGAGATGACTCAAAGCCTTTTCATTTCTGCTGTTGCTGCCAATTTAACTTTTCTGTGAGGTAGAGGCCCTTGGCATGGAGTCTTTCTGCCAAGAACACCTTGGAGGTGGGAATGTGGTTAACAGGTCACATGCTGGGAGGGAGGACCCATGGGGCTCTGGAGGCAGGAGGAGGAAGTAAGGGGGGGTGGGGAGATGGGGCTGAATCCGTGGAGGGACACTGGCTGGGCCTGGAGACCCAAGTTCGCAGCAGACCTGCACTCCAGTGCTCCCCTTTCCCTAATGTGTCCAGACATCCTGTCTAGGTGTTTCACCTAATGTGAGGACTGGTGTGGTCACAGAGGGGGTCTCAGTGTCCAGGAGGGAGGGGACAGACGTGGGGCTCAGGGATGCTAGCTGATGGGGAGGGCTGGGTGCGGGTGGAGGGTGGGTGGTGGTCCCCCTGGTGGCTCTGCTGGACTCATGGAGGGGCGCTGCCACATCCTCTTCTGAGATGCTAGGGACCCTCACCAGAGCGGTGGGGCTGGCCAGCCAGCTGTGAGTGGCTGGAGACCCCGCCCTCTGCTTTGTACAGTGAGGGCAGCTGGGGAGATATGGTGGGCATCCCAGAGGAAAAGAGGTGTGCCCACTTCACCACATGCTGCTCTAGGTGCATGCATGTCACCATTTGCTTTCATTCAACGTTGACAACTCCATGGGGCAAGTTTTATTACCCTGGTTTTACAAATGAGCAAGTGGTGATCTCCTGTAAGAGACTGGCCTTATTCTGATTTTTTAAGCTTTTGATCAAAATTTTAACATAGTAAAATTTTTATTGAGCAGGTATTCTGAGCATGTTCATGTTTATTGAATGTGACCAGTAATTCCCTAAAGTCATCTGATACCCAGTCCATATTCCCCTAACATCTGAAATAACATCTTCTAGGTGGGTTATGGACTCAGGATGGAGGGCAGAGTGCATCTGCTTGACATGTCCCTAAGTCTTTCTTAATCACCCCCCCGCCCCCGCTTCCCTCCGTTTATGTATTGAAGACCACCTGGGCACTTGATGGAGTTTCCCATATTCTGAACTTGGCTGGTTACATCCTTGTAGTGTTAACAGGCTTCTTTGTCCCCTGCATTTCTATAAACTGAGGTGAGAGAGGGAGGGTTCATGGGATTCGTAGGAGGAGACTGGATGTAAAAAGATTGCTCTGGCTGCTGCGTTGAGAATGGGCTGCATGGTTCAGGGTAGAAGCAGGGAGACCTGTTAGGAGGGCTACCTCAGTGAAGCATGGGAGGAAGAAGCTGGGTGAAGAGCAGGTAAGGAGCTTGAGGTGGACGTATAGAATTTGAGGTGCCAGGTGGGAAGCTGAGTCTAAATCGTGGATTCGGGTGGGCCACAGGAGCTGGAGATACAGATTTGAAGTCATCTGAATATTGATGATTTTTTTTGTTGTTGAGGAAGAATCGCACTGAGCTAACATCTGTTGCCAATCTTCCTCTTTTTTTGGTGAGGAAGAGTCCCCCTGAGCTAACATCTGTGCCAATCTTGCTCTATTTTGTATGTGGGTCACCACCACAGCATGGCTTGATGAGTGGTGTAGGTCTGCACCCGGGATCTGAACCCATAAACCCAGGCTGCTGAAGCAGAGCATGCTGAACTTAACCACTATGCCACGGGGCTGGCCTCTGAATATTGATAATTTTTAAAGATTGATAAATAAGAGAGGAGGGTCAGACTTGATCCCTGGGCACTGCAGTCAGGGAGAGGAGGAAGAAGCAGGAAAGGAGACTGAGAGCAGTGGAGGACGAGGTCAGAGAAAGAGGAGGCACGGGGAGGACCTGGGGCTGAGGGCTGCCAAAGTGTCCAGGAAGAGGCTGAAGCAGCTTGGAGAGTGGATGTCCAGCCGTCAGCCTTCTCCTTCCACCCCTCCTCACCTAGAGGTTACCACTTTCAACTCTTAAGCTGATTCTTTGGTTTGTATTTCTATTTCTAAATAGCATACATGAACTATTACTTTTTGATCTTCCCATTTTGTTCTCTCCCCACTGCCCACTACATGCATGCCCTCTTCGCATCCACCATCCTCCCTGGATGGTTTTTTTCATCTCATAACTTTGGGTACATCAGTGTTGAGTATTTACATTATGATGTCTATGTTTGTATTCAGAGCTGAGCCATGTGGTAAATTGTGATTTTTTTTTTTTTTGTGAGGAAGATCAGCCCTGAGCTAACATCCATGCCAATCCTCCTTTTCTTTTTTCCCCCCTTTTTCCCCCCAAAGCCCCAGTAGATAGTTGTATGTCATAGTTGCACATCCCTCTAGTTGCTGTATGTGGGATGCCGCCTCAGCATGGCCAGACAAGTGGTGCATCATTGTGCACCCGGGATCCGAACCTGGGCCGCCAGTAGCCGAGCGCGTGCACCTAACCACTAAGCCACAGGGCCGGCCCCTGTGATTGTTTTTTCTTTTCTGCTCAACTTTTTGTTTTCCTTGGAGTTATTAATTGCCTTTTTTTTTGTGTGTGAGGAAGACCAGCCCTGAGCTAACATCTTATGCCAATCCTCCTCTTTTTGCTGAGGAAGACTGGCCCTGGGCTAACATCTGTGCCCATCTTCCTCCACTTTATATGGGACGCCAGCACAGCATGGCTTGACAGGCGGTGCGTTGGTGCGGACCTGGGATTTGAACCTGCGAACCCCGGGCCATCGAAGTGGAGCATGTGCACTTAACTGCTGGGCCACCGGGCTGGCCCTGTTGCCTTCTTTTTTCATTTGCTTAGGTGTCTATGTACTAAAGCTAATTAAGTCCAGGTCATCTGAATCTCCTCTCAGTGTGCTCAGTCACTTTGATCCCTTTGAGAGTGTCTCTCTTGGAGCCTTCTGCCCTGCTTGAGGCCCCCTCCTCTCAGTGGCCCACACTGCCTGGCACACAGCTGCAATCCTAAGAATGTCCCTTGACTCTCCTAGGTTTGATCCTTGTTTATTGTAGTCCGTATTTTCCTTTTTCTTGGTCTCCACGCTCATTTTAGTAGCATGCATGTGTGATACACACACCCACACACATATACATATGCTGGGCGGTACCCATGCATTCTTCTTGGGGAAGGACTAGGGTGGAGGTGGGAAGGGAAATAGAGATGGGGAAAGGGCAGAGGGCCTGGAGTGTTTATCTTTCTGGATGGAAAGTGATGCTGTGTGGGTGCTGGACCCTGAGTTAGAAAGTGGGTTTCCCACTCATTCCCCCCTCCACACCTCCTCCCTCCACCCATTTCCCTTCTACCCCACCTGCAGAGCTGCCTGGTCAGAACCAATGTTTATTGGCTAGGTGAGTCGAGTCCAGCCCCTGCCAGGCCTCCACCTCCGCCCCTGACTCCACCAGCCTGCTCTAGTTCCCTTGGGGACAAGGACAGGGGTGAAGGAGTACAAGGGCAGAGGGAGTCAGTATGGGGAGGGCTGTCGGGAGGCCCCTAGGTAAGCAGCACACCCCCTAAGGCAGTCATCCACCCCAAGCTCAGCTGGCGTGAAGGAGAACTTGTGTCCTGCATTGCTCATGCCCACAGAGGCTCCAGGCATTGAGGGCTGGTGGGGTGCCCCTGTGGCAGGGGCTCGGAGGAGAGTCAGGGCCTGGGGCCTGTGGGGCCTGGGACAAGAGGTGGCCTGAAGCCTCAAGGTCAGGGGCTGCTGGCCTCCAGCTACAGGGCAGCACTGCCTACAGGTCCTGCAGAGGTGCAGCTGGCTGCACTGCCTCCGCCCTGCAGCCCCTACCAATCACAGCAACCCACCTAGGCCACAAGAGAGCCCAATTTCCCCTAACTTCCCGCTCCCCCCTGCCGACCCCTTCTTGCTTCCCTCCCTGCTGCATCCAGGCCTGCAGTGGACATGGGTGGCACGGGATGAAGGCCCCCTGAGGAGGGCCCCAGTGCCTGGCGGGTAATTCTATTTACCTTTCCTGAGAGGCCTCATGTCATCTTATTTGCTCCAATTAGCCCGGCTCTGCCTGAGCAGCTACAGGGCTCAGCGTTCACCTCCTACCAGCTCCTGGGAGCAGGGACACCTGGCTGGCCCATCTGGCTTGTGCTTTCTGCTCCTGTGGCCCTTTCCTCCTTTGACAGCGCCCCTCTCCCCAACAAACACCACACCAGGCATTACAGGACAAGCAGCAGAGAGTGCTCTAGAGGGGTGACCACAGTCCTTACACGGCCTGCTCCTGCACCTGCCTCCACTCTCTACATCAGACACACTGTCCCCAGATGGCAACTTGGACCTCAGGGTGCACCCCAGACAATCGGGACCCCCACCCTAGCAGACCGCCTGGTTCCTCTTTTTTATTTTTTTTATTTATTTATGTTTCTGTGTGTGTGTGAGGAAGATCAGCCCTGAGCTAACATCCACGCCAATCCTCCTCTTTTTGCTGAGGAGGAGTGGCCCTGAGCTAACATCTGTGCCCATCTTCCTCCACTTTATGTGGGACGCCGCCACAGCATGGCCTGATAAGCGGTGCATTGGTGCGTGCCCGGGATCCGAACCCGGGCCGCCAGCAGCTGAGCACGTGCACTTAACCGCTACACCACGGGGCCGGCCCCTGCCTGGTTCTTCTGATGTCCCACGCTCAGCTCTTCCTTGGTGAGCATCAGCCCTCGCTGCCTGCCAAGGAGGGTGCCCACCCACCATAGCAGGGATGACGTCCTCACTGCACACAGCTGCCTTTCCACATACACCTGGTGCAGCGAGGACTGGAGTGGGCTGGGCCTCTGCTGAGTGACCACGGTGGGGCTGTGCTTCCGCAGAACTGTGGGAAACTGTGCTGCCGCCTTCACTTGGACCACTTCAATTTTGGGAGTCCATTTCTCCCCACTTCAATCTGCTGTGTGGCCTGCGAATTGCTGGGGTGGCCAGGGCTGGGAAGAAGTAGAGACCTGTAGAGGACAACCAATTCTGGATTGTCCAGCAATGCCCACGCTGGGCCTGAGTCCAGTCCTGGCTGTGGCTCCAGCAGGGAGCCAGGGGTATTTGTGTGGGGTTGGTAGAAGGAGTGTGATGCTGGTGGCCTTCCTCGGCCATCACCCTCTTGCACGTCCCTCTGCTGGTGAATGGTGAGCCTCTGGGGGTTGGGGGCCAATGCTAATGGGGGACCGTCCACTCTGGCCCAGGATGGGAGCTAGCCCCACTTGAACTGGGATGGGAGGGTGGCCAGAACATGCTCCAGTGGGGACAGGGAGGGCACTGCCAGCCACCACTCACACTTGGGGACCCCTTAGGGATTCCAGCTCCAATTCATCTGTAAAAAGGGGGCTCCCAGAGGCAGCACAGCAGCACGAGACCCCAGCCACGCTGCTCCTTTCCGACATGGAGGCCCTGGGCCCAGCCTGCCCCTCTCCTCCAGCCCAGCTCTCCAGTGCACGGCAGCCACTACTTGAGCTCTTTATTGTTGGAGGACACACATTTCCTCGAAGACTGGACACACCAACACACGTGGGGACACGAAGGCATGCATTCACAGAACAGCTATCCCCATACCACACCCTGCCCCCCACCCCAGGCACAATGCAGGTGTGGGGAGGGGAGGCCCCACCCATCAGACCACCACCCTGGGGGACACGTGGATGATGGGACTGCTGTCCGGCTCCCAACCCGGCAACTTCCATCGGGCATCTGGTTCTGGATTGTCCAGTGATGCCCTCTCTTGGTGCCTGAGTCCAGCCCCAGCTGGGGCTCCAGGGGCTTCAGAAGGGGCGCTCAGCCAACCCAGGGAGGCCGCTGGCCAAGCGGGTCTCTGCAGAGGGGTCCTGGCTGGCCCTGTTGCTGCTGCCACCCCTGGAGAGCAGCAGCTTCTCGCTGGGGGTGCCACCGGCGGGCCGGGCTGAGCTCGTGTGGCTGCCGATGTGGCACTCCTCCTGCAGTGCCTTGCCTGTGCGCCAGCGATGCCAGCGCCGCAACAGCTCCGACTGCACCTGGGGTGGACGGGCAGGTTGGGCCAATCCCAGGGCCCCCCTATCCCACCCCCCAGGATCCCCAACCTCCCAGCCTTGGAGGGCTGTATGACACCCTGGGCATAGAGCAAGATGGGCTCTGTCACTATAGAATGCTGGGGTCTGTGGCCGTCTGGGGAGGGACCCCCCCATCACTGTCTACTCCCTGAGGACTGGCTGAAGCTGACCCATCTCAAGAGGCCCGACACCCAGCACCATGGCAACTGCGCTCAGTAAGTGCAGGTGGACTTGAAGGGCTGCACCCCTGCGTGGGGCTGGTGCTGGGTGCCTATGCTCCTCTCTGGCCCCCACCCCAGGGCTGGTCCCAGACGCCCCCCACCTACCTCCTTGTTGAGGAAACAGTAAAGAACAGCCACCAACAGGCCCTGGAGAGAGGAGGGGGTGGTCAAGGCAGCACTGGGGCCAGGGGGCCGGGCTGTTATGGGGGGATGGGGCGGGCACCTGGAAGGAGCTGAGGAAGAGGTCAAAGAAGAGCTTGGCGGAGCGCAGGGTGCCCTGGGCGTGCTCGTCAGTCACGAAGGCGAACACTACCTCGTGTACCCCCAGCAGGGGGATGAGGGTCAGCGTGGACTTGGCCAGCCTGTGGGGGTGGAGCCTGAGTCACTGGGGCCTCACCATGCTCCCTAGGGCCCTGGGGTCCCCACCCCCCCCCCCTCTGGCCCCTGAGGGGTCTCCAGGTCTGGGAGCCGCCTGGCCCCCACCGGCCACACCCACCGGAGTTTGTAGTCAGTGTAACGCATCTGGTGGGCTCGCAGCTTGGCCACGAGGATGTGAACGATGCGGAGAAAGATGAAGAAGTTGATCTGCATGTGGAAGGCACAGCTCAGGGCAGCCCCCAGGTCCCCACTTTCCCTCTTGTAGCTGGGCCTGGCAGCCAGACGAGGCCCAGCTCATGTGGCCCTGGGGCTGGTCGGCGCCCAGCCAAGGATGGGCACCTGGCCTGAGGTCCAGGGCGCCGGCCAGTGTCCTGCTTGAGTGCCATGGCCTCCCTCCTTGTGCGCCCAGGCAGAATGCTGCCTCTTTGCGCTGCCACAGGCTGACAAGGAAAGAGGGGGCTGCGGGGCCGACCCCACCAGCCTCTGAACCCCTCCCTGCGGAGCCAGTAGGTGCCTCATTTCCTCACCAGGATGGCTAGGAAGACAGGGAAGCGCAGGATCCACCAGAAGCCCATGTTGTCATTGCTAGTCCAGCACCTGCAGGGTGGGGCTGGCTCATGTCCTGGCAGCCCCCCAGCCCCCCACCCCTTGGATTCCGTAGAGATCTAATTAATGCCTTGGGAAAGGAAGGGAAATGGGTCACGAATGACCCCCATCCCTGGGGAACCAGGTTTGCTCATCCCCCTCACTGCCTCTGGCCAGAGACCCCTGTACTGCCTCCATGCACTGAGCCACACAGCCACTCCCCATAGGCCCAGCCCAACACCTGCCGCCGGGAGACGTGAGCCCCTGGCCACCCTGGGCCCGTCTTCTGATCAGCTCATACTCACTGGATGTTCTCGAATAGACACTTGACCACTGCCCAGGGGATGACGAACAGCATGGGGGCACCTGCAGGTGGGGGCCGAGCAGCTGTGGTCCCATGGCCCCAGCCAGCCTGCCCCCCGCCAGACCAGCACACTCACCCCAGCCGATGCCAAGGTAAAGGGCGAAGAAGCTCCTCTCGGGGAAGGTGGCCAGGCCCAGCAGGCTGTGCAGGTACACACCCTCCACCAGCAGCCAGCAGTAGTTGGCCATGATGCCATACTGCATAAACACTGCAGCTACCCGGCAGCCAGCCACTGCCTGGCCACAGGGGCAGCGTGAGCTCAGGTCACACAGCCACCTACCACCCCGGGGCCGGGAGGCCAGGAGGCTAGGTCTGGGCGCTCACCTCGTCACTCAGCCAGATGCTTACGCTGAGGTCATCACCAATCTTCTGGCTGTAACGGGTCTCGAGCAGAGTGTCAATGACCAGCACGGAGCTGGCCTTGAGCACGAAGGACACAAACAGGTTCACATGGATGTAATTTCGGGTGCAGTGCAGCTTGCTGCAGGGACAGCAAGTCAGCACTTGCCCGCCGCCCTGCCCACCGCGGGACCCCTGTGCTCTGGGTGAGTGGGCCTACCTGAGGCCCAGCAAGATGGCCAGGGCCAGGAGAAGGGCCCCGAGGGAGAGGGAGTACCCCACCGTGTACATCACCTGGAAACTGCTGTACATCTTGGCCACCTCTCTCTGCAAACCACAGTGCCCCATCAGGGCTGGGTGGGGCCGCCTCACCTGTCCCCACCCGGCCCCTTCTGTGTCCCCCTTGGGCTGACCTGGACCTCAATCTCCTCGTCGTCCATCTGGCACTGGGAGGCATTTCGCCACGGTTGCCCCTGGGGCCCACGCACCCACTGCCCGTCGGGCCCACACCTCTTGAACACGAGGCGGTGCTGCACTGGGGGGGCAGGCTCTGGTCAGCGCCCCACCCCCAGGCTGGGCTCCTCAGCCACCCCCCACTCCCCTCTGTGCTTACCTTTGTGGTACCAGGGCAGGTACCAGGGGCAGGAGATATTGGCCGTGGTGTTGGGAGGGGTGTCTGGCCAGCAGGAATACTTGTCAAAGGTTCTGTTACAGACCAGCTCTGCAGAGGCAGGGGCAGGATGGGGGGCTCCCTCAGCAGGGCCTGGCCTGCACAGCCCCCTCTTGGAAGCCCCTGAGCATCATCTTCTGCTCCTCAGCATGCAGCCTCCCCACCCAGGTCTCCCCAAACATTCCACCTCCCCTGGACCTGCCCCCACCTCCAGTCCAGCCTGGCCCTGAGCTCCACTTCTGCCCAGCTACCTCCCCTGGGATGCCTCGCGTCTCCAATGTGCCCCAAACCCACCTGGGGCCTCCCCTCTTCCGAGCGCCCTTCTTGCAGCACTTCCTCCTTTGGGAGCTGAATCCCAATTCTGTTGGCATCCTTCCGGGGTCCAGCACCTACTCTGTGGTCGCACCCTCTGCTCCCCTCTGCCCTCTGGGGCACAGGTCCCCTCCCTCACCTGGCCAATGGCCCAGCCTCCCGGGCAGCTCCTCCTGCCCCAATCTCTTGCTGTACCTCAAATGACCTTCAGAACTCATCCAGATCGCTGTACCCCGTCCCTGCCTGACCGTCCGCATGGTGGTCCCTCTCCATCACCCTCCCCAGGCCTTGTGTGGTCTGCCCATCCCTCTCGTGCCTCCTCTCCCCACAATGTCTGCCCACTGGGCCTTGAGCTCCATGCGGGCAAAGACTGCATCCCCAGGCCCAGCAGCAGGGGAGGGTGGCAAAGCATGCCAATTCTGGGTCAATTTCTTTTTTCTTTTTTTTGAGGAAGATCAGCTCTGAGCTAACGTCTGATGCCAATCCTCTTTTTTTTTTTTTTACTGAGGAAAATTGGCCCTGAGCTAACATCTGTGCCCATCTTCCTCTACTCTATATGGACACTGCCACAGCATGGCCTGACAAGCGGTGCGTCGGTGCACCCCCAGGATCCGAACATGCGAACCCTGGGCCGCCAAAGTGGAGCACGTGCACTTAACCACTGTGCCACTGGGCTGGCCCCTGGGTCGATTTCTTTTTCTTTTTTGATTTTTTTGCTGAGGAAGATTTGTCCTGAGCTAATATCTGTGCCAATCTTCCTCTATTTTGTATGTGGGTTGCCACCACAGCATGGCCGCCGACTAGTGGTGTAGGTCAGTGCCCAGAAACTGAACCTGGGCTGCAGAAGCTGAGTGCGCCAAACTTAACCACTAGGCCATGGAGCTGGCCCCTCAATTGTACCTTTTTGTGTGTGTGTGGAGATTAGCCCTGAGCTAACATCTGATGCCAATCCTCCTCTTTTTGCTGAGGAAGACTGGCCCTGGGCTAACATCTGTACCCATCTTCCTCTGCTTTATATGGGACGCTGCCACAGCCCGGCTTGACAAGCAGTGTGTCAGTGTGCACCCAGGATCCGAACCCTGGGCCGCCGCAGCGGAGCATGTGCACTTAACCGCTACACGACTGGGCCGGCCCCTCAATTCTACCATTTTTGAAATTTCCCGGTTGTGTGGCCTCGGGAAAATCACTGGCCTCTCGGTGACTCAGTTTCCTCACCTGTAAAAGGGGGTGGGGGAGTGGGGGGACAGGGCCTTCCCATGATGAGAGCTTAGTCAACACCGCACGGCCGAGCACTGGACCCGGGCGGGAGGCTGGGGGGCTCACCGCTTGGGGGCGGCAGCAGGCTCAGGTTGTGGAGACACTGGTCGCCATAGAGCTTCCACTTCTCAAACAGGAAGTCCATCACCTGAGCGGAGGGGGCCTGTGGCTGGGGGGATAGATGGACCGACCAAAGGGACAGAGCTGTGTCAGCACTAGGGGCAGGCAGGCAGTGGGAGCCCCTTGGGGCCAGGCGGGTGGACTGGCAGCGTGCTCACCTGGCAGGCCAGCAGCAGCAGTAGGAGGAGGTGGGGGCAGCGTGGCCAGGTGGGGGGCATGCCTCTGGGCTGCTGCCCCCCACATCTGGCTGGGGCTGCACAGCTAGGGCAAAGGGGTCCTCCTGGGCACTCACACTCTTCTGGGGGCTGCCGAGTGTCGGAGCAGCTGGGTCTGCGGAGGTACCACTAGGAGTGAGGAGACCCAGCTGGGCTCTGCCATGACCAGCAGGTGTCCTGCTCCCCTAAAACTTCCCCTCTGAGACTCTGAGTCCTGTTGATGAAGTGGGAGCTGGGGCAGGAGTAGTGGCTCTTTGCCAGTGATGGGTTGGGGTCCTGCCAGGTTTGTAGGGGCTGTGCCGTCTATCCTGGATGGAGCTGCGTTTCCCATGGCCTATGGCTGTCTGTCTGACAGCTCTGACAGCCCCAGAGCCCCTCTTCTCTGTGCTGGTGGCAGCCACTGTCCTGCTTGGTGGCAAAGCTGTCGGAGAGGGGAGCAGCCTCCCCAGCTGCCTACTTATTCTAAACCCCGAGACAGTCAGCTTGCTGGGCCAGGGTGGGATGCTGGGGCCATCCATCACTTGGCCCCCAGTGCTGTGGTTATCGAGGTGGCCCCAGACCAGCTCCTAGCCTTGCCAGGAGCCAGGAGTGTCAGGCACATGCTCAGGGTGGTCCTTGTCATATGCATGCCCCCTTTCCCAGGACTGGGGTGTCGAGGTGCCCCCACGGGTCCCATCCAAGGCTCAGGCTGGGCTCCCTGGGTCCCGTGGGTCCAGTGTGCAGGAGGCTGGCAGCGCATTCCTTTGAGATCAGCCCTGCTGGCTGCTAGGGCCCAGACTCGGGACCCCTGGCCCCATGGTGCCTGCAGAGGGGCTGAGGTGCCTGGTCCTGGGCTGGAGCCCACATCTGAGCTGGAGTTCGGGCACAGCAGCAGCCCCATAATCCTCCTTTCATTGCTTCCAGAGCCCATCTTCGCACCAGCTGAATTCCACGGGGGCAGCAGGGAAGGGCTTCCCTCGGGGCCTGGATTCAGGGCCCCTTGGAGTGACTCATGCCCCCCTAGGGCTGTGAATGGGCCCTTCTCTGGGCATCCTGGTGTGGAGTGAGAAAGTGATGGACAGACTGATGGACAGATGGACGACTGGCTGGCTGGAAGGCAGTGCCTGGGAGAAGCCAGGGGGAGAAAGTCGGGGGTGGTACAGGCTGTGGCTGAGGTGGAGGGTTTCAGAACACCCTGGATTTCAGCTTCCTCCCATCAGAGTCCAGCTGGGCCCTTGGGAGGCCAGCTCAACCCGGGGCTTCCCTGCGATTCACTCCTCTCCCCTAACTGAACCCTGAGATGCCACCATGCAGGCCTGAGACCCGAGGTGGGCACCTGGATCACAGCCTGCTGAGGCTCCTGACCCTGGCCCTTGGGCCACGGCACAGGCTGGGCCTGGTGAGGCAAGACCAGTAGTCGCTGGTCCCCAGTCCCTGAACCAGGTGAGGTATCACCCGGGCTAGGGCTTCGGGTGGAGGAGCCCAGTGTGGAGGCTTACTTGACAGAGAAGGTAGCAGGCAGGTGGAGGACGAGGAGCAGTGCAGGTATCCCCAGCCCTGGGGACACCCAAGGGGACTTATCTCCTCATTCTGACCAAACAGCCCCATCTGCTGCCCTGTCCCTTGCCTGCCCAGGCCACTGAGCTGCATGGGTTAAGGAGCGACCAGGAGCAGGCCTCTCACCCACTGTGCCTGGCTGCTGGAGAAGAAGGGGAGGTGGCTTGGCAGGCTCAGGGGTCCAGGGGTGGCCTGAGCCTCAGCCTCACCCTCGGTTAGAAGCTCTGGGAGCAGGGGAGGGGGAGAGTGACAAGGGCTGGCTGGGGCAGAGGGGACAGTGGAGGTGCAGGCAGGGGACATGGGGAGGAAGGACACTGCCTGATAACCTGTCCCCCGCCCAGAGGCCCTGCAGCAGGGACAGCACAGGGAGGAGCTCTGCCAAAAAAGGACAGCACCTGGGAGCCCAGCTTGGGCATGGCAGCCAGGGCAGGAGTGGCAGCCAGGGCAAGCCTGGCTCTGCCTCAACTTCTCCCTCAGAGGACTGGGAGCTCACCTTGCTGGCCTGCTAGGGCTGATAGGAGAACCCAATGAGCCGATGCGTGGGGAAAGGATGGGTATGGCCACACGGAAGGCTGCTCAGGCCAGGGCAGCAGGCCTTCCCGCTAGGGGGTCAGTTAGTCTGGGGACCCCAGAGGGAAGCAGAGCCCAGAGCTAAAGGGGAGAGAGGGATGGGCTTCCCTGGGGCCCCTCCTTCGCTGCCCCTCCCAGAGCTTTCTCCATGGCAGCCAGGACAGAGGACTGCAGGGGACTCTCCATGTCCCCCACTCCCACCCTGGTCTGCCGGGTGGGGCTGGGAATCCTTGAAGACTCCCCCCCACAGCTCAGCACCCACAGCTCACAGGCTGTGTACCCCAGCTAAAGGCACCCCTATCCCCAGGTCCCTAGGGGTCAGGGCCTCAGCACCCCCCACCAATACAAGAGGCTGAGGGTGATCCCCCCCATTAGGCATCTGACAGAAACATGAGAAGGTGCAGAAGTGGGTGAGTCCTCCATCCATTGCGAGGGAGTGTGGGCAAGGAGAATTCTAGACACTTCTCTGAATAGGGGTGGGCAGAATGTGGGGGATATGGAGTGACTTTCAGCTGTGCAAGGTTGAGGTTCTGGGGGCCCCCCAGGAGAGGGCGACATTGCAGGGCCCAATTCTGGTCCTGGGACCAAGGGCAAATGATTTAACTTCTCAGAGCCTCAGTTTCTCCACTTGCAAAGTGGAGATCCCTGCCTCCTCATCCTCAAGGAGGAAATGAGCTTTGCCACTTGCAGGGAAGGATGGATTATCATGTCCAGGCTCCATCCCTACTGTGGGGGACACTGACCCCAGAGGCAGCCTGTCAGCTCTGGGGATAAATATCTGTTGAATGAATGAAAGGACTGAACCCCAGGATGATGAGCAGCCAGATGTGGGGGTGCCACTCCTGGCCTCCCATTGGCCCGGTGCCGGGACTCATAGTCCACCTTATTACCCTCTGGCAAGGGAGCCGGTGGGGGTGGGAATGACCCTCCAGGGACCCAACCCTCCTCCCTTCATGGACCAGGTGACCTGGCTCCCTCTCAGGCCCTGGCCTGAGCCCCTACAAATGTCAGCCCAGGACTGGAGATGCAGGTAGGGACTCTCCCAGGGCCGGGTCCCCCCAAACCCCCAGCCCTCCCTCCACTTCCCCCATAGATTCACCCCACCTGCCCCCGCTCCTCGCTGAGCTGGCTCATTGGCACATGCTGAGCCCCATGCCCGGCAGAAGGCACCACTCCTGGGTGCTCATGACTTGGCCAATGACCCACCAACTACCATTGGGCATCGCCTAGGAACTCCCAGACCTGGAGCTGGGGTTGGGGCCCCTGGGTTGGGTGGATGGCCCTTCTGGAAAGCCATGGTCACCCTGAATCTCCCCAGGATCCTAATGGGCGGGATTGAGGCCTCCTAGCCTCTGAGAGCTATGAGGTGGGGGGGAGGTGTTTTTGTGAAACCGGATCAAGTAGTGGAAGGTCATGGCCCCAGGTCAGGATCAGGGGTCACAGGCTGTTGACAAAGCCTGATTCCTGTGTTCTCCTCAACCCCTGGGGGTGGGGCGGGCCTGGATGCCGGCCAGGGTGCAACTCCCCCACCAGCCCTCATCACCCAGAACAGAAGGACAGAAAAACAGCCCGGGCCGGTCCTTGGAGTATGCGGGCACCCGCCTGGACATCAGGGGTCATTCGGTTAGAGGTGGGGACAGAAACCCCGCGAAGTGCGACTGGGGGCCGCTGGAAAGGCGCCAGCAGGGCAGGGCAGTGACACCCCCCCTTGCTGCGGGTCAAAGTGACAAGTGTGGACCCTTCGGAAGAGCGGACCGGTGGAGTGCTGACACCCCTCGTCCCCTCCCCGGTAATCCCAGGCAGCTTGGATAGTGCTGGGGGAGTCCTGGGGAGCAGGGGGGATCCGCTGGAGGAAACAGGGCTGCTGAGGCCCTCTGCGGCTTTGGGGGTATCTCTGCGGAGCTGCGTGTGTCCCATGGGGAGAGGCGGCAGCCAGGGGGGGTGTGGAAGAAGGAGTCGGAGCAGAGTGGGGCAGCAGGATAGAGCGCCTGGCGGCCAAGACCCCCCTCCCCACCCCGGGGCCGCGCTCCTCAGGGAGAAGAGGACCGGGGAAGCGCTGAGACCCCCAGCCCCCCCGACGGGTCGGGACCCGGTTGACCGTCCGAGCTGGAAGGGTGCATCCCGGAGGTTGGGAAGGAGGTATCCGACGGGGGTGAAGACGGAGACACCTGGGACCTCGAGACCGCCCAGCCCACGACAAGGGTCCCCGCCGGCCAGTTCTGCGCTCCCCCATTCTGCGGCCCCCCGGCCGCGCCCGCCCGGCCGCCTCTGCGCAGGTGGCTCCGGGAGCGTCCCCTCGGGGTCGGGCCCAGGGGCTCACCCGGCGCTCTGGCTTCGGCTCCGCGCTTCCCCGCCGTCCTCTGCGCGCTCGGGTGGCGGTCGGCGGCCGCTGGTTTCCACGGCGCTGCCGCATCAGGGTCTGCGCCGGCTCCCCGCCCGTGCCCCGTGCCAGCCGCGCGCAAACTTTACGGAGGCGACGCTGGGCGGCGGTGACGGTAGCGGCGGAGGCGGAGGGGCGGGGGCAGAGAGCGGCCCCGGGGCGGGGGGTAGTGGCTGAGGGTCCGCCCCCGCCCCTGCCTCTGTCTTCCCGACTCCCCGCGGGGAGCAACAGCCTGCGCCCCGACTCCTGGCCTGGGAGGTCGTGCCCGCAGACCCCTCCCCGCCGCCCCCCGCCCCGCAGAACCCCGCCCCACGGACCGCTGCCCTGCAGATCCTCGCCCCTCGCCCCGCCTCGCAGACCCCTCCTGGCAGACCCCACATGGCAGACCTTTGTCCTGCAGACCCCCAACCCCCCAGCTCATTATGTAGACCCCTGCCCGGTGGACCCCCGCCCCTCGGACCCCAACCAAGCAGACGGCGGTCACAGCGGATCTGCAGCTCCCTGCGGGGATAGGAGGTGTGGATGGACAGGTGGGGCTGTGTGGAGGGCGTGCCCAGAGGTCGGGCTGTGACTCGGCACCCCTTCCTCTAGCTCCCTCCGCGTTCCTGGGTTCTCTCCGCTTCTTTGCCGGGTGCCGCGCTGATTTGCTGGAAGGACCGACCCCCCCCCCCCACTTACTCCCTACCCCGGTGATACTTCC